AAAGACTCTTTACAAAAACAGTTAAAATAGTAAAAATAAGAAAATTCAATAACTATTTTATTTTGTGTGCGTCGCGCATGTGGGAAGTAAGGTATATCGGTATACGTCGGGGTCATAATAACACGGTTTATATTAATTTGAATTTTTACTTCGGAGATTTATGTTGATTTTCTCTTTACACTTATAGGTATTGAATATTTAAAAACTGTAATGGAAACATAATTCGACTATTTTTATAAGTCTACCACACATATAAATTAATAATCTCATTAGTATATTTTGTATTTATAAAATGTATTTTAGAAAACGTTTTAAAACCGGGGGCTGGTAAATATGAATTAAAGAAAATTTTCAGAAGTTTAATTTGACTAATTTCGACGCCTCGATCTACTTAACACAAGGACCACAATTACTTTACACGTTGGACCCGCAAACGTATTTTTTTAAGCAAGACATAAAACTCACGCAGTCGTCTCGCTCGCACACAGGAAAAATAATCGACGCGGTTTTATGCTTTAACATATCTACATTTAAGTTCAAAATTTATAGCAGAAATTTGGCCTTTATTAACTTAGTAAGTGTGCACAATTACTTAATTTGGAATGGCAACACTAGTGATAGATTAATTTTAAAATCTAGGTACAGGAGATCAATCACCGACCTGTTTTTTCATTACCAGTAAAAAAATAGGTGTCAAAATTGAACTTCATACTACATTATGATCGTAAATACAATTAAGGGCTATCCATAAGTTGCGTCACAGCGTGTGACGTACCTATTTTAAGTATGCCTCTTCGAATGATTATTTTTGAGTTCGTTCCATCAAAACATTCTGTTTAATTTTTTAAAGCAAAATAGTATATTTTTTGTGTTATTCTATGTATGTGTCGTTTCACTTTCAGTCGGCAGGTGCTTTAGGTCAGGTTTTTCTCCATTCGGTTTTTGGGCTGTATTCTGTTTACAACTTAGTTCAAAAATGTTTGCAGAATTCTTTTTACAAATCCGATGCGCTGCTGTGCACTTGGTTTGAAAAATACTAGTTATAAGTCCAGTTAAGAAGTAAATACTAACTAAATTATTTGTTGTAGTAGAAAAATATATATATATTTATGTATTTTAAAAATTACACAAATGCAGTGGTTTCACAGTCAGCAACAGAATAATCTCTCAAATTTAACCATTACAGTCTTAAAGACCTATAATTTTCTACCAAAAAGTCAAAGTATCATCTTAAGTAACGCTTAAATACCAAATAATGAGATTCCTTACTCTAAGAAACATTAATAGAAATCTGGACCGGATCTCCGGGATAATTTCTGAAACAAAGCAATTTATTACAATAGCTGGATAATGGACGGTTTCATGCACATATTCTAAATGTATATTGAACTTATATGTAGTGAATGATGACAACATTCATCTATAGAAGTAAGATAGAGCAGTATAATGAAAGCGCAATTCGACTGTCTGTTAATAGCTGATCTTAATTATTCATGTGTCAGTAAAGAGAGACGGTTAGGGCACCGTGATGTTACCTCTCTTTCTAAACGAGCCAGCAGTATGTATGTCCTACTCTATATGCAACATTCTAAATTTATAAATATGCATTGACATTAATCAATTATTTGGGACATGAGTCACAAGCAAAATGTAATGATTAAATTTATTAAAATTCACCTAGGATAGAAGATTATATCTAAAAATACTTTTTTATATCGACTATATTATGTAGCCTCTATATTGCAATTGTCTTATTTAAATCATGATTGCGTTCTGCTTCCCTTGAGTTTATCAATCTTCAAACTTCTACTTCAAATATACAGTTAATCATATAATAGTCTACCATGTTAGACACAGCTGGCGAAGATTATCTTCTTCACATAAATGAACTTACAATATCCTTTCCAGTATTTCCTTTTATATTATCTATATATAACAATAATGAGAGATCTCAATTTTCCTTCCAAATTTTCAGCTTAATATACAACTTACTTATCCCACCCTCTGTATCGATGACATAATTTTACATACCATCTACTTGATCTTCATATTAGAACCTACTAGATTTTAAGACAGAAAAACGAGAAATAATAATTAAAAACATCGGAACCTATTAAATATTGCATAAAAAAAACGAAAAATAAATATTATAAACGTAATACCATTTCACCATTCAGACCCCCCCTATCCCGGTGTCGATTAAGAAAGAAAAATAAGCTAAGTAAAAACTACATCTCGTTTATATCACACTGATTTACTTGATACGGAAAACACTAAAATGCAAAATAAAGTTGAATTCAATGGGGTGGGGTGTAGACAAAAAAGTCAAATACAACACGATGCACCAAAAATTAGTTTTGAAGTCAAATAATAATAAGGTAAATATAATATATATAAAACATTTTACCTTCTTTACCAATATGAGCTGCACAATGAAAAAAAGAACAATATATAAATAACAATGCGACATTTGATTTTAATTTGAATAAAATATTGATGAAAGGAAATATTTTCAATGATTTTCAAAATACTAAAGATAAAAGAAGCTAAGCTACCAAATCAAAAATAACCATCTATGAATATCACTATCATATGTCCCTTCGTATTTAAAATTGGAGCAAGAACATCCATATAGAAACATTAATTTTGACTATGTTCAAACTGAGAGAATATCAAATAAACCTGTCATCAATACCAAAAATATTCTGTATTCAAACAAATTTACCGAAACGCTAGTAAGCCGTTTAACTTAATTTACCTACAACTCATTAATGCATACCTAGTTATTAAGTTTGAATTCTTATTCTATAAAACGTATTTTCATTCCCTAGTCTTTCTTAACCTCTCGTTTGTCGCGCCGCCGTATGAGCGCTATGTATGCTCAGCTTTCGGCTGTTTGATCTCGAAGAAAACGGTGTTTTTGTTTAAAATAATTATTGTTTGCACAATAATTATTGATTTAACAGCGATTTATCGCAATCTAAGTTTGTTCGCTAATAAAGATATATCGATATTATCGTTAAAAAGTAGTGGCCTCAGGTAATACCCTAGTGGAAGCGCGTAGAAAACCACGGATTACAAAATAAAAACCAATGATGTAAAGAATTACGAATTGTTGAATGACCAATTATCATGTTGTCGTCATAAAAAAGCTGCTGTTGACAACAAAATCTGCAAGAGCAGGCTGACATCACATTCACGGTGAGCGAGTAAAAGAGCTAGCGAATGCTATTCTGCGATCTTTGTAATTATTTCCAGTCCGAGTCAAGGTACAATCTACAGAAATAATGTGTCACATTTTTTTATAATTCCTATGCATTCTTGCAGGATTTTCTTCTTCCAGATACCTAACGATATTAGTCAAGTAAGACCAAGTTGAAAATCAAGAGTTAGATTAGATAGAACCAAACTGAAATTTCAGCATTTTTAATGGTCTCTTTTAGTGTAAGAAATCTTAAAAGTTTAAATCAACACGATCTAGAGAAATAATAACCAATTTTAAATTTTCCAAACATTTTAATAAAGAAACGAAATGCTGTTTTGCGACCTCAATACATAATATACACAAATATTTTTCACCTATAAAACACGTTTTTTAAGTGTATGAAAGAAATTGTATATCATTTATATTTTTGAAAATCTTTAAAAATATCTAACTCATGCTCGATCTACTTTTGGTAATGAAGCATCTTCAAAGATTATTATTTACGGTAGGGTTGCAGACATAAGCCGTGGTTATGCATCCGTCAGTGATGAACTTTGTGAAAAGTGGTCAAAATCAAATAAGATCGACACTGTTCGCTAAACGATTCTACTAGATCGGTTTATGATATACCTTGAGATAGCAGAGTTATCTGTCGTTTGGTAAACTACATTTTACATAAAAGGTTTGAAAAAGATATGGTTACCGCACCATTTAGTCAAAGCTCAAAAAAAGCTCGTCCAAGCGAGGATAAAGAAAAGGCATAATAACTCCGAAATTACAAAACGGTGGCAAAATTAAACAACAATTTACTGCTTGGGGTTCTCAAAATAAACCGTACCACAAAAAAAAAAGGTCATCGTCTAACGACTTTTCTTTCCATATGACAAACAAAATGCATGATTTTTATCTTCTCAAGGAGCTATTGGATCTTTCCAAAATCGGTTTCGATTCATGTTAGTGTATAAAAATTAAAGACGACTATGAAGCTGTTGGTTCAAATAATTAAATCGTTTTCATTCTTATTTATAAAAGCTAAAAGAAAACTTGAGAATCTTAAACTCTTGAATTACAGAAACCTTTAACAACGACGATACCAACAACACTCAGACCCGATATAAAAAAAAGTAATTTTTTCTATATCAACCCAGCTACTAAACTAATCTATAAACAACTTGAAACTGGCGAGCTACGACCAAGGAGGTCGTCTAGCATAATATACTCCGTGTATTGGTAGAAACCATGCGATAAGTTTTTAGTTTATGGCTTTTCGACAAACAGAAGTGACCATAGATCAACTAAAACAATCTATTTACAATAACAGTCTACAAATACCACAACAGCTGCTAATATTATATTATGCATTAATTTAAAGAACATAGTCAAAATTAATTTCATCCGTTTTTTGCAATACTTTCTTAAGCTGAACTTTTCAATCAAGAATTATCTACTTAAAGACACATTTGAAATTATTATTATGTATGTATTAGGCTCCCACATGAATGAGGACACAAGTAATTATTTGATTTACAATAACAAGGAAAATGAATCAAAAAGTAATACCGTCTTCTTTGAGATTGCAATCAATTTCAATGATAAAGAAGGACCACATAAGATTGATAAGTCTAATAAATCGCATGTCAGATTCATAGGACGAAGCTTGAAAAATAAAATAAACCTCTTGCATTTTAAAAAACGATATTTAGATAAAGACGTAGCGTCTTTGATAAAGTAAAGGACTGTTAATAATGTAAAGGAAACATTATAGTTTTAACACAATCCAAAAATCCTACAACGTTCATTGTATACATACAGATGGGCTCGGTCCAAAATTTGGCAGCTGATGTATGCGGCGTTTAATAAGCGGCGGTCTCTGATAAGACCCTTGTGGAGGCGCTGCTCGTGAGTAATTGCGGAATTTATTGAAGACAGTTTGCCCTTTCCACGTTTGGAAGTTAGGCGTCGGCACTGGAGTTATCTGAGGTCCCGATTCCTCAGTGCTATCATTAGATATTGTCGAATTTGAATTGCTAAAACTCCTTTGTATATTAACACCGATATTTCGCACTCTGTTGAAATCTATAGTTCGAGTGAAGATCGGTTCATCTGTTGATTTATTCTGTAACATTTGATAAATTTTATTTAATTTCTTTGTTAAAAGAAAATCGTGCAGTCATCTTATATTATTTTCATAGTTCGTTGAGTAAATGGAACGCTGCATTAAAAACCAAAATTTTAATGATTTCTTGACATGATAGACGTTTAACAAAAGTAAAACTTAAAAAAAACACAATTTAAACAAAGTTAATACAAAAATGTTTTTCCTAAAAAAATTGTAGTGATAACGGGTTCTCTTCCTGCTGGCAATAGTCAAATTTTTCATTGTAATATTTAGAAGTTAATATTTTTATATAGTCATAAAAATTGGTCTAGAGAAAGAAATTAAGTTGATCCATAAACTGGTTATAATTATTAACCGAAAAATATTACTACAAATGCAGCAGCTATACGTGATAATATTTTCGAAATGTAAACTTACCGTGTTATCCAGATTTGTAGTGTCAGGCGATGTATACCTCTTCTCTCTTTCTGTGTGAATCAAAGAGGTGTTAATCACAGGCTCAACGTCAGGGTTTATACACGGAGGTATTTCTGGATTTTTTGACATCGGTCTTTCTAACTTAGCCTGCTTGCACGCAAGGAATTTTTCATACAAGTCCTTATTTTTTGAAGATAGCTGCTTCTCGAAAATTCCAATCATAGAGTTATCAAATATAACTTGATCGGTGTGACTTATCATTTCTATTAGCGCCTCCGTCAAAGATTGTTCGTATGGCAAAATACATACCCGCTCCAGAATTTGAGTTCCGACATCTAAATTGAAAGTTTTGTCATGGTGCACAATAAAATTAGTTAAATTTATAAACACTTGTTTGAACCTAGAAAAGTTTTGTGTATCTGCTATAGTTTTCATGAAAACGTCACAGAGGAGTAAGTCCTGCTGTACGTTAAATAATAGTAAATCTTCGCAAGTAGCCAAATTCACTGTATTCAGGTACAGGAGGGTACATTCCATGACAATCACTCTGAGATTACAGTCTTCGATGTAGTTCTCGTTCGCTTTCATATAAAAGTCTATCGCCATCTCCACAAGGAACCTAGTGAGCTCTCTTCTTTTACATTCTTCTACGAAGCACATCCCATATTTTCGCCGTAGGTCTGGCCAGTTACGCAGCAACATATACTCTTGTATAAATACTTCCTCGCTAAGCCTCACTAATTTACTTGATATTTCATTTAAGTCTGGTTTCACGTGTGGAAACCGACACCTAGGATTCTTGCAACTAGATATTAGATAGAAGAAACACATCCCTCTGAAAACTATACTCTTAATACCGTGTAATGATTTGAATAATGACGACATTAAACAAGGCATTTTTTTCTTTTCAATAATCGTACACTGATCGTGTTGATTAAAAACTTTTTCAGTGGTGTTCAGATTGTTTTCAATGTTTAATGGTATTTCATTTTTGTCCAGTTCTACATCTTTAGTTATTGATGTAGAATCAGCTCTATGTTTTTCACATATTGTTTTTTTGTTATCCAGAGATTGCACGTCTGTATTAACAATTTTAGAAGGTATGTAGCTGATTTTGTTCACCGAATCCCATTGTTCCCTTGACAACGGCTGCGGTATATATTCTTCGAAATGACCAGTGCTATTATTTGCTATTGACATAACAGATGCAGTGGAACTATTCAATCTAGATGATTCTATCCCAGTAATACTTTCGGCAAATAAAGACAACGCGTCATCGTCGTCATAGTTGTTTTCGAAATTCGTGTACCTATATTTCTCAGAAGTGAAATTGTTTCCATTTCCGTTCGTATTATCATTTACTACTTTTGACGGAGATTTCAATTCACCGATAAGGTTATTATTATTTCCAACTGAATCATCATTACGGATACCTTGTCCTAATATATTGTTCCGATTAGCATTCACCGGAATTACGATATCACTGTTACCCGTATTTTCTGCTGTTTGTTCCCTATTGTTCAAATCATTTGCGTTATCTTCTTGATTGTTATCTGATAAAACTTGTTTCAGACGTTGACAATGAGTAATCACCTGACTTTCTTCTTTCAGAATTCTAAATACATTATCTTGAAATTTCTTAATGTCCATATTCAGGTCTGTTTCATCATAACCGATCCAATTTATAATTTCTAGATCAAAAGTCTTTAATTTTGCTGTTAACCTATCTAAGGCAGTAATGTAATTAATATGGTTATTTGCTTCACTGTTTCCATTTGAATTTCGAGATTTAGTAGGCGTTACTGACGATGTACTTAAATCTAAAGAGCGAGCATCTCTGTTCAGGGTAGATTCAGAACTGTTAGAACCCGAAGAAGATGAGGAAGAGCTACCCGCATCCGATGAGGGTTGCGGATTATTTAAAGTTTCTACTTTGATTTGATTATCTATGTTAGTGAGTTTGAGAATAGGTATTTTTTTATCTATACGTACAAAGTCATTGGAAGATGCAGTAAGACTAGTGACGGTGCTTGAACTTGATATATCTTTGGTCCATGAGAGACATTCTGAGACACCGGTTGTCGAAGTCTTACGAGAGCCAATGGTGCAAGCTTCTAAATTTTCTTTCACGGGCGATTCATTTGACACAACATTTTCTATTTTTGGCGACTTATTTTCTAATTGTTCTAGTAGTGAAGGCGATTTTTGGACATCACTTGTTGATGTAGTATCTGCGTCGGGCTTACCTTTACGAATGAGCGGTCTTCTCGTCCTTGGTTTAGTTTCGGTGGTAGTTTTCTTTTTAACTGGTTTATTGGAATATTTTACACTAGTTTTTAGAGAACTCTCTATACCAGTATTTAGGTCAGTGATTTTAGTCTGTTTCATTTTCTTCTTTGGCAGTTCATTCGTAGTTTTTACTGTAACTGCAACATCAATAAATATAAATACCTAAGTCAACAGTGAACTAATAGCAATGCTTGTTTACCAAATATTAACTACAAATAATAGTTTCGGAGTCATATGACAAATTGTATGTCCGAAATATTTTATTATAACTAATCAAGAACTATACAAAAAAAATACCTTTGTTATTTCTTTTAACAATGGGTTTCTTCTTGACTTGTGCATAAGGAACTTTCCTGACATATTTTTTCTTTTTAGGTGCCATATCAAAAGCTTCTGGAAACAATCATATCTTCATTAAAAAATATATATATATATATACCGCGTGTTACAAAAAAACCCGTTACCCCGAAAATGGCATTGAGTATACATAAAACTGAGATAATGGACGCTGTCCTTTATATCGTAGCCATTGTATTTATTGAAAAAAACAATATCGAAGTTTAGCAAAATTTTCGATACCATTTATCGAAGCACACCGACATTATGATCAGCTGTTTCAGTTCATTGACTTCTAAATCAAAGACTATTATTTTGCCAGACTGGTTATATCTACTGGTATTTAGTGCCTACGTCACAGTACAGCGAAATAATTTATCTAGTTATGTGTACATACGCAAATATTCAAACATGCAAAATATTACACGAAAACATTATTTTAAAACTATTTCCAAAATTCGTTTTTATTCAGATTAGAGCTCCCTTTCCAATATACCTTGCCATATTACTATGCCCGTGCTACGCACATATCAGGCACGGAAACAAACAATAAAGAGTACGCTATAGTCACTGCACTGGATTAAATACTTTCGCCTGAAATGCTCGTACAATATCTCTTTACGAACTGTAGACGGCCCATCCAAAATAATAATCTTTATAATTAATGCTACGACGCGTCACTCAATAATGTACTCATAAAATCAATTTCATCTAATCTAAACAAATAGAGAAGCAGAGGAAGAAGAAATATCGCGACCTCTAGATAAGTAGAATATTCGTTATTGCACGAACAATTTTTTTTTCATAATTAGGTAGTTTCATTTTTATGAAAATAATTACAATATTATGAAAGTAGGCGACGTATATCACTGAGTCTCTTCCAGGTAACTTTGTCTATCTGTAGCTGCTTCATCTTTGAAACAGAATTTTTACACATTATGTCTTTAAATCATGATAACCTGGTACTCATACCTACAATCTTCTGTTACGAAAGTAAACCTAATATGACGTCAGCGCAGATACAGTCGGGGAATAAATTGAAACATTGATCAGTATTCGTGTACATATTTCAATTGTGTTTATGGTCAATTTATTTCTTTTCTAATATTTTTACAATAAAAAGATCAGACTTAAAATGGAATATGAACCTTAATCGGGAATATGATCATTCCCAATTATGGTTTCAACCACTTACTCTTACTACATGTAAATTGTTTCAAGTAAAATGGATTGCTACCTTAGAGTTAATGATATGCACTACACTTAGGTATCTTAAAAGCGTCTGACAAGAAAAAATGTCGACAAAGAGCCGCTTTCTGAATTGAGAAAAGTACAAAATCTCAACTGAATATTCTCAATAACTGAAGTTTTTTTATATTTCACTAGTCAAAAGTCCTAGTTTTATCAAACTGCTAACAACTAATTATAAAAAAAAACCGGCCACGTGAGAGTTGGACTCGCGCAGGAAGGGTTGTATCCGGTGCTAAGAAATAACTTCATTAGCTTAACTCTTAAAAATATTTTTTATTGTTAAGGTATTTAAATACGTAAGACAAATCAATACATAATCGGTAAAATCGAGCCTAAAACAAATTCACTTATTCCCCCGAGTGTACAATGACGTAAGATAGAGATAGAGAGGGAGGGAAAGAGAGAGAGAGAAACAAACGAAACATTATCGTTCGTGTTTGTGTGATGTCGCGCGCGAGTGACTACTTGACGCTAGATACGGTAGTAGTAAACATTTGGTACGGCTTTTAATTTATTATCTATTTTATTACTGTGGGCTATTCAACTGAATTTTAGAATCAGAGTATAGGATTCACTATTTTAATGCTGTAAGAAATGAAAATGAATGAGACGTTTAATTATGTACTGTTTACCTATTTCCTTAAATAGAAAAAGCCCTAAAACGACCGACACAGCTAACAAACAAATGGTCATTTATTTGAAAAATAGTTCAAAATAGAAAAGGTGTATAAATGAATTAAAATTTTAAACAGGTATGTCGATTGTATGCAGATTACTACGGCCCACGAAATACATTAATTAATTTATTTAACGATGTCTTATGATAGTTGATACTACTTCCTCTCTACAGACTGAGCCAAGCATGCTCGTTTGCAGGTGCAGCGTGAAAGTATATCACATTTCTCACTTAAACTAGTCTTTACCAAACATTAACAACGTTTAAATTTGTAAATACTAAAAATACAACCATGTACTATCTTATCAACAACAATAAAAATTTACAAAATCTTTGTCAATTACTAATTCCTAATACATAACGTTCATAATACGTAACGTATTATGTACTTACGTACGTATGTAAAAAAATTAGTTGCAACAATGTCCTGCGACGATTTTTTCAATTTGTACAATAAAATGTTGATCACCTCGGTACTAGGCAACTAGAAGTTTAGGCTCAAACTTTAACATTGCCGCCTGTCTAGGGTTGTCATCTATCCGTCTTTAGCGGGACATGTTTGACTTTTTAGATTGTGTGCAGCTAAATGTTAATGTCACATGTCCGGCGGTATAGTTTTCATAGGTTTTTGGTAAACCTGTGCCGAAGCTATATCAAATAAACTATGAATACACACAAATTCGAAAAACGTCAAATACCCAAAAAGACGCAGTGTTGCACGGGCATTTGCGAAATTTGAAAACAAATCGTTAGTTTGTTTGCATCGTATAGTCTCCGAAATTACTTTATAAAAAAACCTTTTTCAAAATAGGTTGTGCAGTTTTGATGTTACGATCAAGCCTTATGTAGGCTGTGATAAAAGCGTTAAAATTATGATGTAGTTATCTTATCTTTAATTACCGCTTATTTGTATATTACGTCTTACTACAAAATCAATTGAAAGTTAGAGATTTTTGCTTAACGCACCCTCTGAATAACTAGGCAGTAACTCTCGCGAAGCCGTGAACTAATATTACTGTCTACTACGGTAATATTGTTTTACGGCTTCGCGAGAGATTTGACTTAGTCCGGCTTTAAGGACAAAATTTCCGATCTAATAAGAGAAGATGGCAACCCTATCCCACTACTTCTCAGATTTAATTGCGGAACTATAGGTACCTTTCTGTGCGCCTTTGACATGCCGCACACTATGCAGCGGCTTATAATAAAGGACTCAAATTGGCGGCTTTCCCTTTTTATCACTTTTTCTTTATTCAGTTGTTCATACGTCGTCGATGTGATCACGTTTCGAAAATGTCCGTGTTCTCTAATTCCGAGTACTATGAAAAGTGCTTTTATCAGTGTTACATGGGATGCAGTGTTGTATTGATATAAATTGAGACTATTTTGAAAAGATGTAATTATACTGAAACGTCAGTGAACCAGAGGTTGGCCGCGATCTTTAGTTTTTTCTTGTGGAATAAAATTAAGTGCCTAATAAAGTGTAGGTGAGTGAACCTCACAAGTAATGCTTAAACAGTGAATAAGGAAGTGAAAAGGTAAAGTACAAATAGTAATTCGCAAATATTTATTTTTAAATACGCCAAAATCGTTTGTGAATTATGTCGCATATCATTTTTTTTTTACTATCGTAATATCAATCAGATTTGTCGGACCATTAAAGTGTGAACTAAAAGTTAGACTCGTATATCAGTGTTTAAATAAATTTTACCTATCTATCATAAATAGGTACTACTTAAAATGGTGTTTGATCTGTAATTCAGAAACAGCTGAGTCGGAAACGATGCTATGAAATGATGTGCGCGTTGATAATAATATGTATTATAATTTTTTTTACTGAAATTAGACTACCGGCTGAACAGCGTCGGTTACCATACCATTTTGCCAATGATTTGATTCCTATTTAATTTCTTTTCATTTTATTTTCGATCGAAATAGGTTAAGTATTTACTGTGTAAACTGGCAAACGCAGACGTGTTTTTAAGTATATTTTCTCTCTCATTCTTAGTGTGTATGTGTGGGTGTGTACTAGGAGAATAGAAAAAAAAATTAGAAAACATAGGAGATAGGTAGTGTGCCATTACTCCTGGTAAGGTCATTAACCTAAAATAGTGATGTGACATAGCACACTCGATGTATTTATTAATTATTAAAAATTAGCCTTTTTACTGAAAGTTAAAAGTTAATGCAAAGGTTTTGAAAATTTGGCAGAGTACTGTTTATATGATATACTTCAACACCCTTCAGCTATAACGGGTATTTTTGTAACACCCGGTATATATATAAATACATGACTGCCAAAATCAATCTAAAAATAAAAGAAACCAGTTGTATTATGGCTTGGTTTAACAAAATTCTCATCACAGTCGGGAAACTTCTTAGATTACAAATGTTCCACATAACGATCCCCCGACCGTAATGAGAGCTTTGTGACGCCAAACCATAATACAACTTGTTTCTTTTAATTTTATTTATATATTATTCCTTTCATGGGGCAGTTAATTATTTATACAAATTATATATTTTTGAAATGTAACCATCAAGACCTTTCATTTGATACTTCCAATTTACTTTTCCACCTGATTCCGAATTCCGAAATGTAGTCTTTATACAAATACATAGGAAATTATGGCTTTACATACACTGTGACTGTGCGAGTTAAATGTAGCATAAACATTGAATATAGTTAGTAATATAATAATACAACTTATTACTATAATGTATATAAAATGCTTTAATCAGTCCCAATTTGATTGCGATGCTTTTTTTTAAGGTTCATTGAAAATTTTGCATCAAAACGTCGCATCACATCCCAAATAGTATATAGCGTGAAGTTTGTGAATGTCTTTTAAATGTTAAATTGAAGGTGATTGCCATCGATTTTAAAATTAGACAATCAGGCCTCTGCCTGGTCGGTTCGACAATTCAATCAGAACTTCAGATAAACGTCAAGTTGAAAATACTTTAGTTTACTAAACTATATTAAGGATTTATAATTACTCAAATTCTACTTTATAACACTCAACTGACTGCTATCCGTTATACATTTTTATTATTAAGCAATACTAATTAATGATGAACACACAATAGCACAACCAATATATCAAATGATGTCTTTCGATTTTAAACTCTATTAGAGCAGGTATAAAAGGTTGAAATTGATTTGAATAATGTAGAAGAACCTAATAGTCACCTTCTGAATCTGTAAGGCACGACACTGTAGTATCCGTAGCAATTGTCTTTTCAATTTGTGGAGCTTTTTTGGAACATCCTCTTTTCTTTCCCTTTTCAGATTTTTTCGATGCAGTTGTTGGTGTTGTGGATACTTCGTCCACCACCACAGGTATATTAAGCAACTGCGCTCTTGCTTCTATTTAAAAAAAAAAATACAAATGTAACAAGCTTCAATTTTTAACAACATATTTAGTGCGAATTATAATGAGGATAAAATGAACTAATAGGGTTTGAAAAATCTGATTTTTGTAATCTTGAATATGTAACCAATTCTTTCCTTTTATTTTACATAATATTGTTATTTGTGTGTGAGTAGTTATATTAAATATATAGTAAAACCCATTTAATACCATCACACTTAACACTTTTGACTAGTATGTCAAAACAAAATAAGGGCCATTATGTATTTTTACACTTTGGGTTAATTTATTCACATGAATGCAATCTTGAGTGGTTGATACTTATGATACATTCATCTTAAGTGTTGACAAGTCCTATTTGAGTATACCATGAGCAAAAAATTGTTAACATGGTTAGATTTAGGGGTATTTGAAGCCACTTGATTATACCCTTATTTAAGTTGTTAGTTAAATTCAGTCAAAGTTTGGAATTAGTTATTTATTGTTTTTAATTAAATTTTAAGTTAATTACATTGAAAGTTATAAATCTGATGAACTTCTTCTTTTGGTCCTAGAAACATATGAATATACTTGAAAATTGCAGTGGCCCTTATTTTGTTTTGACTAGTATTAAATTTCTCTGATAATATCTAATTTTGCATCAGTCCTTGCCACCTGAGACATGTTTCAATACAATTCTAATGCTTAATATGATTCATCATCCTGCTTAATACGCCTACCACAAATATTACACGCACAGGCATTATCAACAGTTAATCATTTGAAATGCTATGTAACTTCTTAAAGATGCACTGTAAGAGTTAAATTATGTTGAAAATCTTGTAATTGTTTATTCCTCAAAATCTTTTCGTCAAACTAAAATAAGTGTTTATTTTAAATAATATAATAATAATACACTACATTTTCTATCACCTACATGATTTTTACAATTCAATACCTACATGCCAAATAATAAAAGAACATAATAAATATAAATATGTAGTGTTTTATTTTCATAATCCTGTATATGCTTTCCCGCTTAAGACGCGTTTTTGGTATAGAACCTGTAAACTTGTCTTTATGAATTAATTATCTTTTAATGCAATGATCCTATGTCTTTGCAATGTATTAAACCATCATCTAGTGACAAAACTAATCAATCTGATAGATTAAATGTTTTTGGTTATACAATAAGAATGTCACTGGATTTTGAACTTTATTCCAGCATTAAGATTGAAACTGATTTGAAAGCTGTAATTGAACCTAACACTCACCTTCCGAATCAGAAGGGCATGACACTGTAGTATCTATAGCAGTTGGCTTTTCAATTTGCGGAGTTTTTTTGGCACATCCTCTTTTCTTTCCCTTTTCAGATTTTTTCGTTGCAGTGGTTGGTGGTGATGTTACTTTGTCCACTGCCACAGGTATATTAAGCAACTGCGCTCTTGCTACTATTTTATTAACAACATATTTAGTGCAAATTATTCCAAAGATAAAATAAGCTAACAAACAGGGTTTGAAGAAATCTGATTATTGAAATAATCTTGGATATTTAATCAATTCTTTAATTTAGTTTACATAATATTGTTATTTGAGTAATCTTGTTAAACATATATAACTGTTAAATTAATTAATTTATAATAATAATAATAATAAAATACTTTATTGCACTCAATATCATACATAGTTTACAAAAAAGCTTATTATCTGAGAGATTGAGTAAACAAATAGCGGCCTTATTGCTAAACAGCAATTTCTTCCAGGCAACCTATGGTGAAAATGGATAAAAAATAAAGATACTATGGGGAGTGGGTGCAATATAGAGAAGGATAAATAAATATTATAATAAATAAAAAAAATAAAAAAATTTGTACATATGAAATGAATTAAACGGTTTAATAGTGAAAGAATAATATGAAAATAGTTTTAAGATGTGGAAAGGAAATAATTTCTAACTTCATTGCTAAAGGATCCCAATGATCGAGCCCTCCTGATACCCTCTGGAAGAGAATTCCACAGACGCACAGCATGCACAGCAAAAGAATAAGAATAGAAATCTGTATAGTGACGAGGGATTTCGAGAGTGAGGTTTGAAGAGGAACGTAATGTACATTGTGATGAAGAGGAGCGAAAAGAGAATGATTGTTTAAGATATGGTGGAGATGATGGGAGGAAAAGTATAGAGTAAAGAACCGTGAGAGTATGCAAGTCCCTGCGCCGGCGAATAGGAAGCCAATTTAACTTTGAACGGAAATACGACACACAGTCATACTTTCGAAGATTGAAAATAAATCTTATGCATACATTCTGCAGACGCTCTAGTTTGGTGAGAAGTTCTTCTGAGAGATCTGTATAGCACACATCAGCGTAGTCGATAATAGACAACATTAGGGAATGCGCCAAAGTGATTTTGGTACTGATCGGCAAAAAATTACGCAGACAACTCAGTGAACCATACGCAGCAAACACCCTCTTTCTGACTGCTTCCACCTGAGGCTTCCAAGAAAACTGTTGGTCAAAAATAACTCCAAGGTTTCTGACAGTTTCGGAATAAGGGATAACAGTACCGTCGAAAATGATAGAAGGTAGCTCACTAAAGAAATGACGACTGCCTATTACTATAGTTTGAGTTTTAGATGGATTAACTATTAGACCGTATGATTTACTCCAGGCACTGATAAGTGACAGATTAGAATTAGTAACCAAAACAGCCCTCGAGAGGCTAGTTAACAGTGCCTGAGTATAGATCTGGAGATTATCAGCATGAAGGTGATAGGAACATGAAAGCGACTGTGTGATGGAATTTATAAAAATAGAAAAAAGCAGAGGAGATAAGACGCCACCTTGAGGAACACCTGCATCAATATCACACCACGCAGACACTGTATCGTCAACACGAATACGTTGCCGGCGCCCTAGCAGGTAACTTCGAAACCAATCAATTGCAGCCGGAGATATATTAAGAGAAGCCATGACACCGAGAAAAATATCAAAATCAACGGAGTTGAAGGCGTTACGAAAATCAAGTAACGTTAACAGTGTGAGCTGTTTGTTCTCCATACCCCATTGAATATCATCGGTAATCTTAACCAGCACAGTAGTAGTGCTATGACCCGAACGGAAACCAGACTGAAAAGTATTGTGGTTTTGGTTGGAAGTAAGGAAAGCAGTAAGCTGCTGAGAGACAAGTTTCTCAAGAACTTTCGAAACAAAAGGAAGAATAGAAATAGGACTATATTCAGAGAATTCGGAAGGGGAATTTATCTCCAGACAGAAGTAATGAATTTTATGGAATATATATTTTTGGTTATATAACATGAAAAATAAAAATCAAGCCATAACTAATCCCTTAAAATTGTCATTAGATAAAAAAAAATATTAAAAATTTTAAATTAAAAATGTTCATTAGAGCTTAAAGTTGGCATTAAACTTTAATAAATGTTTATGCAACTGGGTGTTAGTTAAATCGATTAAGTGTACAGTAATATCAGAGGCCTCTACAAGTTGCATGTGTGCATTTAAAAGAGCCATTTTCTTGATTTTAGTTTTTCCTTTCTAATTTAATCAATTTATGGCTCTTAACTTATTTTTCAATTTTAATTCTATAGGACAGTATACTTTCAGTTTAGCTGTTTCCTATGATCCCTATCAAAAATATTCCAATGAATCCAACTCATAGTAAAGTTCTGTTGTAAAAGATAAAAATGATAAGGGTTTCAATTTAGGGGCAAAGGAGGATTTAGGGCAATGCCAATTTAAAATAAGTAGTTCTTTTAAATTATTTGTTTTGCCCTAGTGGATTTCACCAGAATCAATTTAGGGTTACATAATAGTATAACATAAAAATATACAAAATCTTTAACATGTTCTGATTATACCTTCATTTGCCAGTTCCAACTTTGCCAGTGTATCCAATTGCTTTTTCGAGAATTTTGTCGTTGATAATTTTGCCGCCGCCTTATTCTTCGGGGCAATATTTTTAGCAGATTCTTTTTTAACGGTTTTGTTTAATGCTAAAGAAATATTCCAAACATTGAATAAAAATATACATTTTGTCTCTAGGTAAAATTACGCTATCAGCAAAAATTGATTCATGAACATGCTTGTAATGTTTTAACTTACTTGTGGCTGGTATTTTCAACTTAATTACACTCGGAATTCTAAGTTTTGCTTTCTCCTTCTTCATTCTTGGTTTTGGAGTTTTTTTCTCTAGTGCTTTTTTCTCCAAGGTTGGAGTTTTATTAACGTTTTTCTTTGGTGCCATTCTTGTAATATGAAATTGGAACCCAGGTTATTTTATTCTATGTAATCAATTAGTGTGTAATTCACACAATGAGAAAATATTGATTCATTTTATAAAGTTTCAATGCTTTTTCAACAATTCGATAAAGGAAGTTGTGGAAAGCAACTAAAAAATTACACGGATTTTATACCAATCACAAACTTTTTTTTTTTTTTTTTTTTTAATTCGTTCCCTTCGGAACAGGCTAAGATCATAGACCATGCTGCCTTGTCATTAGTTTAATTGTATTTCTTTGTATTTATAATAAGATAACAAGTCTTTAGTATACCTATAATAACTTTGTGCAGTACTAAAAATAAGTATTTACATAAGTAAAATATTCCTATGTGAAGTCGAACGTCAAAAAGATAAAATAAAATATTCAAATCTATTCAAATATACAAGATAAAATCAAAGAGAGCATCATATACAAAGTACTCTTTGGAGACCATCTAAACTATTCTAAACTAACTGAACATATTCACTGAAAGACACCAGTCAAATATAAAAATAAATTCTAAAATTGTTAGAAGAAAATAAAATTAGAAAAAAATGTTAAATAGTACCAACAATCAGAGCATAACTTAGAATAATAACTAAAAACCAAAAAGTAAAGTGAACTATACCAGTCCTATTCTTTGAAAATTAACAGTTTCTCTTAAAAAACAAAAAAATCAAAATAAAAACAAAGACAATAACAACAATCAAACCTTATTGGACCATTTAACGTGTACACCTAAATTTGCCCAATTGTGCTTTCAATAAATTTGAACAAAGGTTTATAAGTGGATGTATTTACAAGCAGATTCGAAATGGAGCGCGGTACCAGTTCCGGACTATTATATATCTCAATCAGCTCATCCATCAGCACAAGGCGCTGGATGCCAAAGGATGGGCACTCAAAGAATATATGCTGCAAAGACTGTTCTGCTTGAGTATCGCAACAGTCGCAAGAGGAACTACGTGCTATATTTAGTCGATAGAGGTGGTAGTTTAGACGACAGTGACCGAAACGAAGCCTCAAAATAGTTGTGTAAAATTTCCTATTAAAGTAAGTCTTACTTTTGCAGAACCAAGGTGTCGAATTTACGGGCACATTAAAAGAAGCATACCATAAACCTTTGTTTTCTATTTGTACTTTAAAATTCCAATGCTTTTTCCACAAATCTGTTGATCTGTTTTTTAAAAGAGAAACAATGTCAGTATTTGGTACAGTTACATTAAGACTATTGCTGGAATCAGGGATAATATTTGAAGCGTTGGTTATAAATCTTGCCAAAAAGTCAACTTTTTCATTTCCAACCACACCTGTATGTGAAGGAACCCACAAAAATGAAACTTGAATGTTATCCACAGAATACAAGTCAAACCAAAATTGTTTGATTGAAAAGATAAGGTAGTTTGTATTGGCATTGAACTTATTATTTTTCAGATTTTCCAAAACACTCATGCTATCACTAACTATTACCCACTTACGACATCCATTATTTTTATATTTAATGTGTTTTAAACCTGCAAGGATAGCCAGGGCCTCTGCTGTAAATATGCTTGTATTAGGATTTATTTTGAAACCTGTACCTAAATTCAATTGCCCATCAAAAATTGCAAATGAGACAGCACACTCAGTTTTTGAACCATCTGTGTATAAAAACCTATGACCAGAAAACTCAGAAAGTTTATAACTAACATCTTGCTTAGAAGATAATTTATGATCAATGATAATATTTATTGCAGGAAACTTACTGTCAAAGTCTCCTTGATAGCAAGGTAGCAGTTCTGATTTATGGATTTGGAGACCATCAAGATAATTTATAAATTGGGAGAAACTATGGAGAATGTAAAGATTACAGTTTGAAGTGCATGAATTTAGCAAGTTTAAAAAGAGGTGATTATTTTTCTTTGTGTATAGTTTTAAAATAAATCGTTCTTTTAAGTATGAAAATCTTATACTTAAAGGAGGTAATCCACACTCAACTTGTAATGAATTTATAGGTGTACTTTTATATGCTCCAGTTATAAGTCGCATACTTTTATTTTGAATTTTTTCTAGTTTGTCAACCAGTCTATTATCACCAGAAAAACATAGAAACCCATATTCAAAATGACTGCGAATAAGAGATTTATAAAGTATCAATAATATTTTGGGATCAGCTCCCCAGGATGTTCTGCATAATGATTTTAAAATGTTGAATGCTTTGTTGGCCCTTGAACTTATAATTTCAACATATTTACTCCATGATACATTGTGAGTAAATACTACTCCTAAAAACTTTGCCTCACAAGAAACAGGAATAGGGATTTTGTTGTAATATACATTAGAGGCTGAGTTATGAATTTTTCCAAATACAACATATTTTGATTTGAGGGCATTGATATCTAAATTTAAATATGAAAAATAATTATATAAACCTTCTAAAGACTTATTTACAATATTAGTAATTTCTGTTAAATTTTTTCCAGATGCATACACTACGAGATCATCAGCAAACTGTAAATTTTTAACATGAGAACCTAGTACCAGGTTTAGTCGTCTAATATACAAAATAAACAATAAGGGAGAAAGAATTCCTCCTTGACAAACTCCGATAGATGCCTGTCTAGGACCATATAGTTTGTAATTATGTTTAACATATACTTCCCTTTCTGTCAAAAATTTATGGATCCATTGAATTATTTTACTTGGAACTCCTATACAAGCCAATTCAGAACAAAGAATATCAATATTTACATTATTAAAGGCACCAGAAACATCAAAAAATACAGATAACAAGAAATTTTTACTAACTAAGCTATTTTGGATATCAAGATGAAGTTGGCTAATGCTTTCACGGGCAGACATGCCTCTTCTAAACCCAAATTGATTTGCAGGTAAAATATGATTTTGTTCCACAAAAAACTCTAGTCTTTGTTTTAATAACTGCTCGAAGATTTTTCCAACACAAGATGTAAGTGCGATTGGACGATATGAGTTGGGATTTGATTTGGGCTTATCTGGCTTCAAAATGGGTACTATACAATCGGACTTCCATGAATCGGGTATATCATTATTTAACCACAAACTATTCAGAATGGACAAGAAAATTTGAAGACTATTGTCACTGAGTCTTTTGAGCATGAAATAGGGGATGCCATCCAGACCAAATGCTGTATCCCTTCTGGAGCGAATAGCAGACGACAACTCTTGAAATGAAAATGGTTTAATCAGATAGTTATTTGAAGGAATCATATTATCAAGTATGGGAAAACTAGAAGTGTTATGTACATAATCTGGGGTATACTTTTGTAAAAATTCTGGAATCCAATCATCATCACTATTGTTATACAAATATGTTTTATTAAATTTACGCATGAATTTCCAGATTTGAGACAAAGGAGTACAACGATTAAAGGAATTACACAATTCAATCCAGCTATTATTTCTCTCAGTTTTCAAGGTAAGTTTTTTTAAAGCTTGTAGCCTTTTGAACTCTATATATGTTTCATTAGAAGGATTATTTTTAAAATTTAAATACGCCATTTTCGATCTTTGAACTGCTTCAAAACATTTTTTGTTCCACCAAGGCAGAATTGGTGTTTTCGTAGTACGGGTATTATTACTATTATTGATAGACGCAGGACTAGTAAATGGAAGGGACCTTTCTATAGCTAAATTCATGATTTTACAGAATACAGAATGAGCTTCTAATGGTGTATAATTTTCTAGTTTGAAAGTTGTTAAAAGGGACTCAACATTTTGTGTATACATTTTCCAATCGACCATTTTAAAATTAGGGTGGATGGGCAAATGTATACCGCGATTATTTGAAACAGAACTTTTGTTGCCATTTTTACTAAAGAGGACTTTGATTATTATAGGAAAATGATAGCTGCCAAGTGGATCATTATGCACGGACCAGTCACATGAAAGAGCCAACGATGGAGAAACTAAAGATAAATCCAAAGCATTAGAACGCCAAGTCATTGAACCAACTGTGGTCACTTCACCATTATTCAAGAGAACTAAATTATTATCATCAATGATTTCCAGGACATCTCTACCTCTAGCATCGACAGAGTTACATCCCCAAGAAGTATGATGGGCGTTAAAGTCGCCAGCAAAAATCATTGGTTTTGGAATTGATTTTACTAAACAGTCAAATTTATATTTGTCAAAGTTTGGAATACAATTTGTAGGACAGTAAAAACTAACAATGCTTAATTCTTTGTTATTTATAGTAACTCTGATGCAAATGTTTTGCAAACAGCTATCATAAGAAGTAATGATTTTATTGTAATTTATATTATTTTTAATTAGAATAGCTACACCATTATGTTTGTTGCCAGTATCATTTCTTTCAATTTTGTATCCTTTAATGTTAAAGTTCTTATTAGGTTGTAACCAAGTTTCGGATATAATAGCTATATGAATACTATTTTCATAAAGAAATTGAGTTAGAAGAAGCCTATTACTGATAATGCTTTGGGCGTTCCATTGCATGATATTAACTGTATCCATTATTTGGAAGGAGATATATTGTTTCTGAATGATTGATGTAAGATTTCTTTTATAGTAACTGAATTTATGGGGTTGTCCTTTTGATTAGAAATGAGTTTGGTAATTGCTTGTGTGAGAACATTCATGAAAGTATCTGATTTTGTTAAATTTTGGATCTGGGTTTCTAGTGTTTTAGTATGTAAATGTGGGAAAGACGATTCATTAAAGAGTTCCGAATATTTAGTAGTTTTGGATTTGATTTTGTTTTCTTCAATTTTTATTTTCTTTTTAGGACATGTATTGGAAATTGCAATATGATTCCCTCCACAATTTGCACACACTGCATTTGTAGGGTTTTCTTTACACTGTCTATAATTATGATTTTGTGTACAGATGGAACAGACCTCCGCATTTCTGCAGAATTTTGCAATGTGGCCAAAACGTAAGCAACGTAAACATTGTTTCACTGGTGGGATGTATACATTAACCTCATGTCGCCATGAATCGAGGTAAACATACTGCGGAAGTTCCGTGGAAGCGAATGTGACTGCTACTGTTTGTGTGGGCTGATAAGAAATTGTACCATTTTCACATCGTACTCGTCGCATAAAACGCCTGACTTGTATAACGTTTCTGGAACTGCCTATTAACGAAAAAATTCTTTCATTTGAAAGACTCGTTGGGACTGAAGTTAAAACTCCGGTCACCTCAGTGTCCGACGCTGGAATTGTGCCTTTTAAACCTAGTTCATCCAGTAGCTTTTTATTTTGAATGAAGACATTTGCATTATTCGATAGATCAAATGTGATTCCTACACGAAATTTGTTAATGGGTCGTAAGTGGAGTAATCCTGTGACACAGTGTTTACGTAATGCATTAGAAATAGCTAATCTGTCTTTATCAGTAAACTGTTTACTTTCTTCTTTGTGAGACAGAAAAACTATATAATCATTTTTTTTGCAATTTTCTGGATACTTTCTAGAGTACCCAGAAACTTTAAATATTTGATACTTCCTGGTGTTTTCTTCCTCTTCCGAAGAAGAGTCTGTTGAACTGATTCCAGCTCGTCCATCAGGTGGGTCCTTTTTACGCTTCTTTACGCCTCCCATCTTCTATTAATTCAATATTAAATTATATACACTCAAGTATTCTATGTAAAAAAAAAACTATTACAAGTTAAAATTCAGCACAAATAGTGTTTGAAACAGAAGTTTAAAAGTATTTTTTCAAAAAGGGCGCCTTTTCCTTTTCGAATTTCCCGCGCGAATTCCAATCACAAACTTTATTTAATTCACAGACCAGAATTTTTTTTTTATATAATATTTTTGGCTTGGATGCAGGGTCCTTTAAGCCAGCACAGACCACAAATTATGCAGTTTTATCACAGACCAAATTCATTGCATACATAAAATAATGATATACATCTCGAGTTTTAAAACAGATTCAAAGTTCAAAATTAATGAATCGTATACTATATCTAGTCAACTACTGTCCTCCCTACGATTCTGTAAAAATCTAAACCCAAATTCGAATTCACCCAAGTGTCACAATTCACTTCAAAAAGCGGCATCCGTAATAGCGTTTCGTAGCGAATAAATAAGTAAAGTGAGTTTCGAATTGACATAGGGATAGAATATCGGAGACATTTTGTTTTGTATTTCTGTCTGGAATCAATAGAATTTCTTCACAAAATGACATGAAAAGTATAAAGTCCTAATGATCCAATTTTAAACAATGAGATCATGATCACATGTCATGTGGAAGCGTTCCTACTATTGCGCCGAGAGTCATGGGTTCGATCTCCACCCAGAACAAACATTTTTGTGATTAACAATTATGTCTGGGTGTTTTCTATTTATATTATGTATACTTATATTTGTATTCCTCCCGTTGTTTCTGATATCCGTAACAAAAGTGTCTGAGCTACTTACCTCAGAATCTGATCAATATGTGTGATGTTGTCTGATATTTATTTATTTATATTTATAGTATACTAATTTCGTCAGAACAATTTTTTCAAAGAAAATTTATGAACATGGGTTTTTTAGCATTAGGTTTAGACCTAAATATCAAGATAGCACTTTGAATGTAAACTTCAAATAGGTATAATATTCGCCAGAAAATGTTTTTTGTATATTTACTTCTAAAGTTACTTTAAATGATCACCTGAAAACCTTACTAGCTGTTGTAAGAGATAACAATATAAATGTAACTTAAATTTATAATGTTCAATAGTAGAATTAAAAGCAACATTCATTTATATAATCGAAGCATTTTAGAGAATCGGCGACTACACCACTACACCAATGTGTACCAAAGGGGGGCGTGTCTGGGAACGTGGGAACCCACACAGAAAAAAGAAAAATAATATTTTACTACTATATCCTCCTGAAAATATAATATATTTGAAAATATATTTTAATTTTGTTTTTATTGACAAAAATGTTAATGATTTCAGTGTGAAACTTAATATTCTTTCATATTATATGTATTTGTGCAAGAGAATCGTATTTTATCTACCGTTTTTCTTCGTTTTTGTGGAGCATTTCTTTGTACTTTCTCAGCGGGAGTGGAATGAATATTGTTGGGGTCGGGTTTAGCAGATTTTTAGGTAGTGTTGGGTAGATTTAACATTTTTGCAACGGTCACCCTGTTCGCAAGGTCAAAAAGGTCGAATCTATCAAAGAAAAGCTCTAGGTCAAAGTGGTCAAATAACGAATGAGTCGTTGTTTTGAGGCTGCTTCTTCAAAGTTATCAATATGAGTGGAAAATACAAAATTGTTATGATTCGCCATGGCGAAAGTGAATGGAATCAGAAAAATCTATTTTGTGGCTGGTATGATGCCGATCTTAGCGATAAAGGTGTGTATAAATGTGCCAAAAGTTTCACTTTGCTACATTTATAATTTTCTTGTTACAATACTTAATGAAAAATGCTTTTGGCTGTTTGGGTGGATTGCCTGAACATGGATGAGAATACGCTCTGTAGCAGCGAAAAAGTAACAAGTGCTTACGTGAAATTGGCAGGATTGTGGTTAACACAAAATACCCATTAAAATAGAAGAAGCAGAAAAAAGATACGTCAGTACTGTTAAGTCCTGGTGAAAAAGGGTGAAAAGAATTAAAAAAAAGTTTAGTTCTGGGTAGCTCAGTGGTTAGAGCAGTCGCCCGGATTGGGGATTAGAGCACTTGCCCGGATTGTGAAGGGTCATGGGTTCAAAACCTATCTCAGAGTGCCAGAGACCAAGTGGATTTTAAAGCATTTTTCATTAAGAATATATATTTTTCTTCTTTCTTAAGGAATATTATTTGCATAGTATATATTAAGAGAGAATATTTTGTTTTTCTAGGTCGTGAGGAAGCTATAGCCGCTGGCAAAGCATTGAAATCTGAAGGATATCAGTTCGACGTAGCTCATACATCGGTTCTGAAACGTGCTCAGATCACATTAAACACCATTCTTCAAGAGATTGGTCAAACAGATTTGCCTGTTAATAAAACATGGCGTCTCAATGAAAGACATTATGGTGGTCTAACCGGCTTGAACAAGGCTGAAACTGCTGCGAAGTATGGAGAAGCTCAGGTATATATTTTAAAGAAAAAAGGTCTCATTTATCTATACTATTATAATAGGAAATATTTAACTGTTTGTTTGCGTTACATAGGCAAAGTCACATGTAAACAGCTAGTCTATAATATTAATGGTTATATGTTTGTTACTTCTTTTGGAGAAAATAGCTTAACTGGTTCAGATGTAATTTCAAATTCAGATCATCTTTAATGTGAAGATACTTAATGGTCCTTTAATTCTTAGGGACTTTTTTTTTATTCAAATTTAGAGCATATGTTTGTAATGTTATATAATTAATTTGAGTTGATCTTTAATCTCTAAAAAAATAATATTTCTTAACTTATGCATATTTCAAATTTTTATTATGTATTTATTATTGATTCATCATTATAGAAAGAACATTAAGAAAACAAACTCTCATTTTTATAATTTTGCCTATCAAAGAAATTGTTATACAACTAAGTTGAATATGGAACAGGTTCAAATATGGCGTAGAAGCTTCGATGTGCCCCCTCCACCCATGGAAAAGGACCATCCGTATTATGACACAATTGTAAATGATCCTCGCTATGCTGGTGACCCAAAACCAGAAGAGTTCCCCAAGTTTGAGAGCTTAAAGCTTACCATTGAACGGACCTTGCCCTATTGGAATGATGTAATTGTTCCTCAAGTAAGTAAAATTGAATTGAAATAATATAAACTGAATTAGCTTCATAAAATAAATGAAATTCGCGGCGGCGGCGCGCCAAAGAATATTAAATATTAAAGTTGAAGAATTTATTATAAAATATATCAATGAGTACCATCTCAGCTACAGAAAATACTTTTTTTTCAATATTGCCCTTATTACGGAAGGGGGGGGTACCTGGTATCATGCAAGTAGCTATCTGGTCTTAACCCCACTTTGGGACCATATTAAGGTTTTCGCTCGGTAAGGATGCATTTCCGCGTCCCTGCTGATGGCACTCCAGCGATCATGACTCGGTTGCTCAGGTTTCCAAGTGCCAGAAGAGTGCTGTAGGGACGTAGGATGGTCGGTCCGCAAGATTGGTGTGTGCAGTAGAGGTGGTGTCACCTCTTTATGACTTATCTCATCAGCGATGGTAACGAGCAAACACCGCGGTAGGGCGGAAGAGATTCTTTCCTTCAAAGAAACTTCATAATTTATTTACCATGATTGATTTTCGATTTCAATAAGAATGAAATTCCACTGAGTTTTATAGAAATAAATTAAACAATTTCCAATATAAGTGGGTCGGTCAATCCTCAGTGTTTTTGTTTATTACGTAAAAACTGATCTATTTAAATGAACATAAAAATTTTATGTTATCTTAAATGTAAGTTTACCTAAAACATTTAAGAAAAGCTGTATGATCACATGAAAACTATTATAAGTATTAATTTTGCATTATTTCAGATCAAAGAAGGCAAAAGGATTATAATTGCAGCCCACGGCAACAGTTTACGCGGCATTGTGAAACATTTAGATGGTAAGAGCGACAAAAATATAGTGGCCTCCTTTTTCTTGACTGCCCGGGTTGTACCTGAAACCTATTTACAAGCAATATATGTATAGTAGCCACTATAACGGTTTGACTAGTGCCTGATTTGATGAACTTAGTTTATAAATCGATTGAAAATCTGATCGAATCGATGACGATGATTTTTATTTATATTTTTCTGGGATACGTTTGTTAAGCAACTTTCGCAAGGGTCGGTCAAAGGGTGAGTGACCAATAATTTATTATTGAGCTCCTTGCGTTTTCGAAGACACGTTAAGCCGTAAGTCTCGGCTGCATCTGCAATCGTTAACACCCACCAATGCACTGGGGCCACGTGGCTGTGAATAATGTATGTGATGTTTTCTAATATTGGTTGGATCCTAATTATACTATGTAAATAAAGCACTTGTATTATGGGAATCTGAAACAATGAAGGCAGCATAACACCTAAACTAGAAATAATATAGAAAGTCAGTTGTCTATATTGACCCAAAATCGGTCGGTAAAAATCGGAGTTTAACGATAGTAGGGTTGCCAGTCGTACTCTAAAATAGAGAATTGTACTCTATATCATGTAAGCGTATTCTATAATCTATAACACTAATAGAGGACATATAAATACTTTTTTACACAATATTTATTATCTAGTGCCACTCTGGTAACAATAGTAACAATACTCTTTTTTTATAAATCTTCTTTATCTAATAAAAGTTGGGAACCCTAGGGTCTAATAGTCTTGAAGTGTAAGGGTCGGTGTGAATCTGCTAGAAGATTCAAAAAGCGTCTCATTGAATTATGAAGTTCTCGAAGAATCATTCGTCGAGTGTGCAGGGTTGAATGTCATATATCATATATTTATTTATATTCCGCAACCTATTTGACGCCATGACGTAACTTTAAACGAATTTTCAAAAACGGTCCAGTAGTTCGGAGCCTGTTCGATGGAAAAAAAGAAAAAAGTTTTCTTTATAATATAAGTTAAGAATATTTATTAGATTTCTTTCTAACTTCAATATTTGTATGACAGGACTCAGTGACGCTGCTATAATGGAGCTGAATCTGCCCACCGGAATACCGTTTGTCTATGAACTCGATGAGAACATGAAGCCGGTCGACTCAATGGTATTCCTCGGCGACGAGGAGACCGTCAAGAAAGCCATGGCCGCCGTTGCTGCGCAAGGCAAAGCCAAGTAAATTTAATTGATACCAAGACCTGCATAATAGCAAAATAGACTTATTGTCAATGTTTCTGATGTTTTGTAGATGTGAAATGAGATTTTATTCATAGCATTTGTGAAGGTAAGCGTACGACATTTGTAGGTAGCAATTCTGTTGCACAAACTAGCCTTACCAGTTATAACCCTGTCAGTTTGATTTTCAATTATGTAAATAATTAAGGTAACAGTATAAATCTTGTTCTTTTAATGATTCCTAAAATTCACCAGTCAAATGTCAAAGTGGCCCGAGATGGGATAAATATTAATATAGCATTGTGAATGCTTAACTGATATATTTATGTGACAACGGAATAACGTTTAAAACATTATTTAGTTTAGTGTTGCACCAGAATTGGCACCATTGTAATCCAATGTATAGGAGAATTTCAAATATCTAATAATGTGATCTCGAATTCTCAATTAGAAAAAATTGCGAACAACTGTTGCTATGTATGTTACTGAAAATATATTTTATTGGCTGGTTGCCATGTGTTGAACTTTATTTATTAACTGTGCTTGTGGAAATGAAATAAAAATAGATAAATGGATTCTTTTTTTTTATTCCGGTAAATTTAATTTTAATTCAGCAGCGATATCGTCCATATTAACACTACCAGTCTCCATTTTATCGTCATCAGTGAACTTCCTACCCTCATATTTAACGAAACCTTTTTGTCTGCTATTATTGAAGGTGAATTTCTTTTTCTTGCCGGCTTTTACAGCGTTATCGACCTCCATGCTTACATTTTCCTTCTCTTTCTTTATTTTAGGTTTCCTCCCTTTCTGGTTTCGTTCGAATCTGAAGTCTTTTGGTAGTTTATGGATTTTCACACAATGGTCCATACGTTCGTCGGCGTTCATGAATTTTTCTTTACAATCTTCAATGTAACAGTAATACTGTGGATTGAGAAATTGCATTGTATAAAAAACTAAGGAGCGGTTACGGCGGCGGCGTTCGGTGCGCGATTAAGGATGTTAAGCAAATTTCGAAATGGCCCAACATCGGATGGGTGACCAAAAATTTGTTATCTCAATCCCTCCGTGCATTGCGCAGCCGTTACGACGCTCGGTATACGTTTGAGGATTATAGTTTCGTAATGGCTAAACATCGGATGGGTGATCAAAAATTTATTATCTCAGTGGCCGTTAACACCTACCTATCCTCACTGGGACTGCGTGGTTATGGTCGTGTCTCTATGTGATTCCATTCACAAGAAGGGTCTGCACTCCAGCAGTTGCAGAATTAATAGGATGATGATGATTGTGGAAGGTATAACACATATAACAAAACACATCAGTGTTATATTTTACTATGTATTTAATATTACTAACTGACCTCATCAGCATATAAATGAACATGAGCTATTTAAAATTCATTCTAATATGTATTTGTATGACGAAGTTCATTTTATCAATGGATGGTCTAAAAAGGATAAATCTAGTAATACTTAACATGCAAATTTAGCTCTTAAGTTTTCTTACAGAAGGTTTCCTTTCGGCCATTACGGCGAAGAATGAGTCGTGCGATTCTTGTATATGGAGGTCGAGAATATGAGGCGAAGGTAGAATCTTCTTGCACTGAGCGCACACGTATCTATGGTAACCATTGTAATGATTCTCAAATTCTAATAATGTTTCTGCTGTGAAAACGCAGCCTGGGACGCTGCAAGTCGTTTTAATGCTGAAAAAATATACAAACTAGGGTTGCCACGCGTCCACATAAAGCCGGACATCGTTGGACTTTTTGATTGCGTGGCTTGTTGAATAATATTCATTTCGAAAGTCACTCAAAATAAAGTACATACGGCTACATGTCATGTTACCACAATAATATATCGAATTTGTATATTGAATTTTACCTCTACTCTCAACGTATTAAAGTTAAAAATCGAGTGGAAATTTGATACTTTTATATAGTCTGACGTGACGTAGTAGTAGCAAAATCTATTGCAGGAATTTTACATTTTCTCACCTGACGTGCAGCCCTGTGTACAATGCCCAGTTGCGTCCCGATAAATTGGCATTAGTTTAAAGCGACATTACCGAAAGAGTATTAATTAGAGCTTAGAGCCATCATTAAATCATAATGAACGTGTGTGATGGATGTTAGTCTTGTTCAAGAACCGTAAGTTATAAAGCACGATACACCGTAGGACACCTTTACACTCGGCTGATCTGAGTCGGCCAGGAGCTCTATTTTTGAATCATTCGTCTTGCGTCGAGCGCTCGGGTCTCTACTGATTTTTTGTTTGACATAATAAATTCGCCATTTCTTATTCGCTTGCAACGTGTGGTATGACCCACTCATCATTTAGCAAACGCTGTATGCGAGTGTTAATTTAAATGTCGAAACATAAAATAAATGAATGAACAAATGACGTCGACTATTTCCCAATTCTAGCCTAGGATACTGTAGTAACTTTCACTAACTGTTATGTTTAATTTATTTTGGATTAAAATAATTTTATTTTTATTTGTAGCATGACAACAATTACGAATTTAATCACATTGCAAGTACTATTTCATATAATTAATTGACATTTACTTTTTTGACAGTTTTTAAGGCGCCAATATTTCATTCACAAACCGACAATTCTACAGATACATCTTTAGCGAGCGATGTTATGATGACATTATTTTCGTGTTTTCGATTAGTTTCAAAGTGTTGCCATCTCTGAGGTCCCGGCTTCGATTTCTGGTCGGGTTAATGTAGAAAATGAACTTTCCTATATTGTGTGTCCTGGGTGTTGTGGTACCATCGGTACCTCAGATAGCTTCTCATCTTGGAATCTGAGCAATGTATGTGATGTTGTCTTAAATTTATTTATTTATTTTATTACTTTTACATGTCCTATGGTGAATAAACTACTAAGTCAGTAATACTACTGCCAAATCCATCATAATAGTTCTTTATTTTTCGTTCGATGTCGATAAAGCATCTATATGTCAATGTAGATTCTTTTTTATAAAAATCATACTCATAAGCGTGATTCTTGTACTCTCTTCACTGTTATTAAATTTAAGTAGGTAGACTAGGACTCGAGACACATTTTTTGACTATGTGTGTTGTAATTTCATTTGGCCTTTAACTTAATCATTGCAGAATCAAATTAATAAAAATATTGGGTTTTGAAAAAAAAATATTTAAAATTTTTCTGTAACCGTTTAAATGGCTATGCTGTGAAATGGCTAATAATTTGCAACAACTAATAGTCTTTACAATCTTTCATAAATTTAAAATTTAATTAGGTTACTTCAAAGTGGAAACTATTTTGTTACTCACGAAAACTCATTTACTGAAAAAGAAAATATCACTTGACAATTCATGTCAAATATTTTCTTAGCATTTACCGTAGGCACTTTCCCAATTCGTTTATACTACAATGCTCCGAAATTTATCCATTAAAGAGAGAGCTCAAATAATCGATTATGGTTTGAATATTAGTGAGATTTCTAGAGAATTAAATGTGTCGGTAAGTATTATTGTCTGACGTGAGTTTAATGTAAAATCTCAGACCAAGTCTGAGTGTAAAGCCATGGCCTGCAAATCGCCAGATCTCATCCATATTGAAAATATGTAGGGTCTTATGGTTCAGAGATGGTGTAACCGCAATGAACGAACAGCAGAAGCACTACAAGGGCACTGCAATGCGATTTGGGAGGAAACCCGTGGGTCTAATATCTGCTCAAGACTGGTGGACTCGATGAGGGAACGTCTCCGAGCTGTCATAGAGGCAGATGGCGGCTACACAAGATTTTAATAATTATAATTTTATATATGAATTGAATATATTTTTTAACAACCAAAGAATTAGCATTTTCACTACCTCTTCTAGTTTTAGCCTTCGTCTCGCACTAAGCAGGGACGGCACAATATGTTTTCGTCTCTATTCACTTCTATTATCCGTCATCTCAGTATATTCAGACCTATAACACGCATAGCTTCTTACTTATAACATTTCACTACCTGCTGAATTTTTTTATTAGAATGCATATTAAAATTTTTAGTAGAACATTTTATAATTAATCTACATTCTAATGTAGGATATTTGTAGAATAAGACTTTGTTTACGATATTCTAACTCTAAAGTATTCTCGATTATAAATAACTAGCTTTCCGCCTACGGCTTCGTCTGCGTAGCCCAATTTTGTTGGTTTTTGGAGAAATAGTCTATTTTATAAGTTAGACTTCAAGCAATGCAACTGTGGAAACCGCATTTAATTTGGTTCAGTAGTTATGGCGTGATGAAAAAAAAAATTTTTTTTGGCTGCTATTAGTCTTATGAAGACCGTCCATATATTTTTTTTTCTAAAATATCGTACAGATGTAACCTTGTATTATAACATTTTTATTATAGGTATAGATAATTACTGTCAAAGGTTACGTCAAAATGATGAAGATAGCAAAATTGACGTGTCCTTGGAGAATCATCGCCATCTTTCATTCATTTCATATTCATTTTACATGTAAAAATTAATTTATTTACTTGACATTGGCAGAATTGTGCGAAAAACGCAGATAAGCCATTAATTAAAAAAGAAGAAGAAGACGTGTCCTTGACGTATCAGAAAATTAATACAACGGAAAATCAACCACTTTCTTGACCGACTTTATTTATCACTTACACTTCATGGCACAAGTTCTCTTCGTCCAAATCAAATATTCCTAGTCGAGGTGGAGGTTTGTCTTGTGCAAAAAGATTATCGTCCAGTTTCCTGCGGCCGACACCGTAGGACTTCAAAGTTTCTATCGTCATATTAGAAATCATCTAGAAAAAAAACATCTAAATTAACTTGGTACTGCAAATAATGATGCCCAATCAGTTTAAACATAATATAAAATTCCTATTATTTTCATTACCTGAACAAATTATAGACTACTTTATTTTTTTTAGGAAATATACAAAACAAGTGGGCAGATTATTTGATGGACTATACAATAGTTCATAATCTGAATTAAGTTATTATAACTACTTATTTGTTCGGGCGTAAAAAATAAAATCGGAAAATCTATCCGGTATTTGAATTTTTCTGAAAACTATTTTAAATAATTGTTTGATACATTATAAATGTAATAGCCAACTAGTTAAAACAGCCGTTCAATTAGGCGGTTAGCCAATTAATTGAATGGCGAAAAGCGAAGGCACGCTTGTGAGCGTTTTACACTTGTATAAGTATTTTTTTGACGAATTTAATTGGTCGCACCACGCTGTGTGGCGATCGGTGTTAACGCATTAAATTTTTATTTTATATTAACATTTATTATGCATTTTTACGATTGTGGTAGGTATTTCTTTGTTTGAAAGAATTTAACAAACGATCAAATACTTTTATAAAATTACTAAGTAGCTATTAGACTTACCTACTTATAGTCTATTAAGATAAAAACATACTTACCTAGTCATAATGAATCGACAATAAATCGTGCACAGTCATAACCCACCATTTCCAAGGCCTTCTGTTCGTACGACTACAATGGCACTTTACCTAACCTCTTTATCTTTTAATATAACCAAGTGTCTATCTTACCGATAGGAAAATTGATCGTATGCATATTTACTTAACGTTTACTTCTAAATAGTGGTTTAGTTCTGTCTGGTAATGACTGTTGTGAAGTCGTCAAATCGGTCACTGATACCAATACTGACCCTTTCGTGTTGTTGGGTTACATCATCCAGTTAACATCAGGTTGTCTGTGGTGTTAGTTAAATTCGTAACCTATACAAGTAACTAATAACTAGATATATAACTAAAACTAAATAGGATATAGTTTATTCTATTATGTACTTTTAACGGTACATTTTTTAAATTGAGTAGGCAATAGATTTGTCTTCATTTAGTCGTTTTTCTAGACAAGTGTTTAGATTGTGGTGGTGAAATTGTATTTAAATCATATTTTGGAAAAATGCAAGACGTCCGCCGAAGAAAGGTAATTATAAATAAGCAAGGGCAATACGTTTTCGTACAGGTAATAAGTCAACGATTTTTTGTTTATTTCCTGGTGATATTTGAAGGTTATGTTATGAAAACAGACTTAAATATTACAAAAACATACCTTTCGGTTCATAATTAAATTAGAAGGAAATATATTTGTAATGATAATATTCTGTGAATATTATAATTATTCTTCTTTTTCTCTTTAGAAAGTTGTCTTTTATATTACTACTTTGCCTTAATCACAGTCAGTTTATGCTGAAATCGTTTGTATCTTTCGTTCGTGGTGTAAGAAATTAAGTACCAAACGCGGCAAATTTGAAAAATTTTGATACATAGGTTATATGTTATATTTAGTACATATACAGGCCTGTATCTGTATTGTTATTTTTTGCTAAGTACTGACGTTTCTGAGAAGGTCTAGAAAACAGCGGCTCATGGGATGGCCGTTGCCGTCGCATATTGTACTTATGTTTACATAACATGTATAACACAAGGGAATATTTTTTTTTAACTTCTTATTCAACAAATAATCCCAACAAGCTTCGGTTTATATTTACCACATTTTATAATCTTAATGTAATTGAGCTATATCTACTGATAAGGTAATTTTTTTGAAAAAGTTAGATAACATCGAATAAAGGAAATAATTACTTACACGGCACAGATTTTAGGAGGATGTGTTCTTCTTCTTCTTTTAAATTAATGGCGTTGCCCTTGTGGATTTCGCCATTAGTGTTTCTCTCAGTTTATTTTTTAGTATTTTATTTTATCTTTACTAAAAGATTCTTCTTCTTTTTTTTAAATTAATGGCTTATCTGCGCATTTCGCACAATTCTCCCAATGTCAAGTAAATAAATTAATTTTTACATGTAAAATGAAAATGAAATGAATGAAAGATGGCGATGATACCTACTAAAAGATTGGATTAAAAGTATCCAAATGGGTAGACTGACGCAGGCCGTCATGTTTGACAGTGGCTTCTCTTAATAAAAGTAGTAGTTTCGACCATGGGACAGGCGAAGGAACTAAGCCATTATTTTTAAAAGAAAATGTCGCCAACGTTAAAATACCCGTTTCAGATTTTATTTGATCGACTTTTGTTTATTAAACCATCTCCATCTATACATATGCCCACAGACTGTTCTGTGCACATACCAGAATTGGTAATTTATAATTTGTAAATTATGTATGAATAAATCTACCACCACAAACTTATTGGAATATAACAATTATTTATGTTCACTGAAAATACACTGATTTTTCGAAAGCATTTGATAAGGTTGATTATTTATTTTTTGTGAAAAGCTTGAAAACGTCAAGTGGTTTCATTTTTTTTTACACACACATCACGAACACAATATACAATTTGATAAAATAAATAAAAATAAAATTAAAAAAATACGAAAAAGATAGGAAGAAAATACAACGAGGAAGTATTAAAAAAAATATTAGTTCCCGAAATCAAACTGTACGCTACGGTACGTTATTGATTTGTTTATGACAACCTTTCCGGTTTTCTTTCAAGTTTAAAAGTAAACTAGTTTTCAAAACTCAATAAATAACTCATATTTTATTTGTACTTTTTCGTGTTTGTATTGATATCTAAGTTTCGAACTTTTCAAATATGTTAGTTAAGAGCAACGGAAACGACTGTCTTTGGTCCATTCGTTTCCTGCAAAAATCAACTTTTGCTAGAGTCGCCATCTAGAGGTGGATTTTTAGTGCTTTCTTTTTTTTTAATACTTCCTCATAGTCTGTGCCATTGTGTAGCTCAGTATAAGCATTAAGCAGAACCCTACACTGATATTTTGCTGCGGCCATCAGTGACACCACGTACAAACCAAACACAAAATGGACAGTTATAACATATATGTATTTTTTAACACATTAGTCATTTATAGACAACAATAGGCATGTCGATTTACTTGAAAAAAAAAACGATATCTAATACGATTCGAATCGATTCTCGATTAAATCGAGCATTAAAATATCGATTTTCGATTAATAGCGAATTTGACAACAAACATGCCTTAATGCCTACACAAAGAGCATTATTGATGATAATTTACCGTTAATACAAGTAATGTAGGAATTGTAGGAGACCAATCAGGCTGTCTGTCTGTAGTCTAATCTAAATAAGTCAGTCATACATAATAAATAAATTAATCAAATAGAAAATTACAAGACTATCATACCAAACGTCAAAATTCAATTGAATATTTCCCGCTCTTGTAACTTTAGGTATTTCGCTTGTTCTTCTTGTCAGCTAAAAAACGTCCTGAACAAATGGTAAATAATGGCCCTAATGCATGCCCAAAGACGTCCTGAACAAGTGGTAGGGGAAATTTTGCTTGATACAAGCTTACTTGAATAAAGACATTTTCATTTCATTTCCTAGCGTATTTTATAATATTAAAATCTAAATATCTTTATTAATCTGTATGTTATATAACGTATATACTATAATATTTTTCGTTTCCTGATCCTATTGCGAATAACTTGTCGCAAATCCTATCCTTTTCCTACCATCGTTTCCCTACCTTTGACACTGGCAAATACACAAACCGCCATGAAGATAACTGGAGCCCAAACTCAGAACTATTGGTTGAAGCAAAGTTATTTGACCTCTATTGACCTTTCGTTGGACTCCTGGGTGGCTATGTCATTAATCTAAATTTTCCCGGAACCTGTACCGGTCATTGATGTTATTCGCCAATTTTTAGTTTCATAAACTTTTTGACAATTGTTACTAATAGTATAGTTTTACACGTCACTAATTGCATTGGACTTGAAGCTTTATTTATATATCAGAAATAAGATTGTACATTAAATATACTCTGTTTCACACAGAATGGATACGATGACATTTGTTAACAAATTTGTTCAACTGTTAACAGTTAATGAATAAATATTATTGTCAAATTCTGTTTTATATGTTGACCTCAAAACCGTTTATCTCTATTAGAAATAAACTCAATAACATTGAGTTTTTGTATCTAAAAACTTCAAACCCCAAACGTCACCGTACCCACGCTATGTGAATAAGACATCGTATTTTTTTTTCTAAATTTCTCCATTGTTGTGGTAAATGGCATCCTCAAAAAATGGCAACCTCGTGTGTGTCAATATAACGTCACCGTACCCACACTATGTGAATAAGACACCGTAATTTTTTTTCTAAATTTCCCCATTGTTGTGGTAAATGGCATCCTCAAAAAATGGCAACGTCGTGTCCGTCAATATAAGGTCAATATGGCGAATGACAATTACTAATTTCGTCGACTCGAAAATTGTGATTCATATATAATCGTTTCTCGCTATCAAATCGTGAAAAATGGTTCAGAAATGTGTAGTCCTAGATTGCGGAAGCAAATGGCATCCTGGGTGTTCTTTGATATTTCACAGGTGAGTCGTAAGTTACTATAATTGATGACTTTATTTTATAAAAATAATGTTTTAACGTAGAATCCTTAAATTTTTGATCATTTACAATAATATATCTAAAGTAATACATGATTTAATTGTTTAAAGTAGCATATTTCAGAAATTTTCTAATACAAGCACAGTTCACATTGTAAAATAAAAATAAACAAACACTAATATGGTGACCATGAAAGAAGATAAAGGATAAACAATAAAACTGAACTTAATATTTTTTTATTTCACTTTTAGTTTTCCCAAGGATCCAATAAGGAGAAGTCAATGGTTATCGAGTGTCAAATAAAAAAAAAAGTTTTATAAGACTGCAAAAATATGCAGTAATCATTTTGTGGCTACTGATTATATAATAGAGAATCGGTTAAAGCATACGACTATTCCTTTTTCTTCTGATGTGGTAAGTAAAAGTCTATATTCTACTAATTAG